GCCCGCCACCCTGCGAGAGTTGCGACGGCTACAGCTGGTGCTCCACGTACAGTTGCCCAGTCTACTGTGCCATGGATGAAGTGATGTGCCACGATTCCATGACCATGACGGACAGTTGCCACCCAAAAAGCACAGGCTGCCCAGTCACATGTGCAGCAGGTGAACATGTGTGTCACACCCCTCCGGCTTGCGAGACGTGTGATGGCATGAACTGGTGCTCTTCTGGCACTTGTCCGGTGTATTGTGCCATGGATGAGGTGATGTGCCACGACTCCATGACGATGACCGACAGCTGTCACCCAAAAAGCACAGGCTGCCCCGTCACGTGTGCAGCAGGTGAACATGTCTGCCACAGCCCGCCACCCTGCGAGACTTGCGATGGGTACAGCTGGTGCTCTTCTATGACCTGTCCTATCACGTGTGGCATGAACGAAGTGCTGTGCCATGATGCTGCTACCATGACAGACACCTGCCATCCAATGAGCACTGGCTGCCCGGTGTGAATGTGGCTGACATTGTCAAGAGCGCCATGGCCACAAGCAGTCCATGTGCAGCCTGGTAGTTTGACCGGTGGCCCGCCCCCACCGCGAGACGTTTGAATTCTTGACAGCAAGGTTCCCACACCTGCGAACCCAAGCTAAGTTTCTTCATCGCGTTTTAACCTTGCCGTGGCCACCCTTACTTCCAGTAGTCCCAGCCTTTCCTGCATGCATTCGATATTTGGTGCATGGTGGTCATGGCACTGGGAGCGTTGACGGCCAGGAAGGGTCAGCCAAGTTGGAGTATACCGACTACCGCAACCTTCCAAGGTACTTAAGCACGCTAGGTGTGGAACTGGTCTTGCTGTGAGAAAAGTGTCAATGCACCACTTCTTGACGCATTCATCACCTTTGCACTGACATCTTGAAAGGCAGCCTGAAGCATCTGTGATAGCTGACTTTGTTGCAAGGCAGTGAACGTGGCAGAGGAGTTGAACCAGGCCCTTGGGGCATTTGTCTTCCTCTCGTGAGAGAGCTTCCATTGCAAGACCATGGGGTATGTCTCACGATAAGAGCTACCCTATCTCGAACATTCTCAATTTCAGCCCTCAAAGGAAGCTCTGAGTCTGAGATGCCCCTGCTTGCATTTCTATCTGGAAAGTCCAATGTGGAAAGTCCCGAGCGGCAGACTCTCTTTTTGGTCCTAACTATGTGTCATTGATTGGGTTTGTAGGTTTTTTATGCGGCATATCATTGGTATGTAAAGACCCCAGGATTAATGACCCCCTGCGATCGACCCATAGTTACCATAGTTCCAGCCATAGACAGGGTATGCGCAGCTTAGTGGCCACAAACAACTTCAGAGAAAAAGTGTCAGTCAGTGCAAAATGTATCAGGGCCGCATGTAAGCCTCCTGCTACAAGACCTATACAGAAGTTCCACAGGCGATGCTATACAAACCTGCTCATTCTATCACAGTCTTACTTCAAGAGCACTGCTAGTCACCATCTGGAATAATGTTTAGGTAGCGCTAGTAAAAGGGTGACAATAGCGTCTTGTTGCCGGCCCGGGAAAATCCCGGACAATCAAATTTGCTTTCTAACAAGTTCGGAGCCCGAAAATATGTAAACAAGTCCAAATCGCAATAATGAAGGGGTGGCAATAATGAAATTGTTTGGCTGGAAACGTCCCGATTTTAATAGATTCCCTTCTACTTGTCCTACTAGTATTATGAGCTGCCCCCCCTTCCGTAAGCCCAAATCGCATAACGATGTGTGGGGGGGGGGGGGTTGGGGGTATTGTCACATAAACATTACTAGACTTCAGACTGAAGCTATATTTCTGCCTCAGCAAAGCATAGCCAAAGCCTAAAGACGTCGGCCTATGTTCCGCGAAGAGTTTGCAATGTCTGTTTTTTCAAGCCAGAAGCAACAACTGAAGCACCACAGAAGTAAGGGATGCCGGACAGGTACTACAATGCCGCACTCGGGTGGTGGGCTGGTACCATTCGCACCCGGGCTATGCTTGGAATTCATTTTAAACCTCAAGCAAGTTCTTCTTCATGTCATTTCATCAAGTTGGAGTCCATCCTGCACAGCGAAGGCACCCGCACATAACCTGCTTTCCAAGTCACGTAGATCTGCGAACTCAGCTGCAGTACCAGCTCATGGATACAGACGCTCGGCTTCTGCAATACCTTAAAATCATGTTTTGGTGTTTCCTGTGGTACGGACAGATTGCTTGAAGGTTATGAAGGGAGACTCTAGCTAGACTCTAGCCTGGAGTCTTCCAAGGCACAGGAGCTCTAAATATGTTTCCTCCCTGCCGCCTGCTCCTGAATCTTTTGACCCGGGAATTATGCTACATCCGTGGCTTTTGATGATCGCGAAGCGGATTTGCGGTTACTTCTGCCGAGCCGTGTTTCGAAAATGCTAGGGGCTTTTAAAAGGGAGTCAAAGTGCGGGTGTCAATGTCTAGGATTGACTGGGTTGGGCAGAAAGACATTGATTAACTACATGTCCACATGGGCACTGAATGATCAGCGTTTACAAGTGACATGAAGTCCAGAAGAGACGGCCAGAATCTATTGTCTAAGCAAGTTCAGCGACCGCGTTCATTTGATTTGCGACTCGGTTGACCCAATTCGCCTAAGTTCTTGAGATGATTTCATGATTAGTTGCTCGCTTGAAGCAGGCATTCGGAACTCGCCTTGCGCGCGTAGAAGAACTCAAAGGTGTTTTCTGGGAAGGCTTGGCAGATAAGCGATCAGTCTTGCTGATGCCCACAGAGTACGAGCCTTGATGCGCCTTCTCCTGCTACTGCTGCTGCTGCTGCGGCTCCTCCTCGGCTCCCCCTCCTCCTCCTCCACCATAGCCTGCAGAAACTGCTGAACATGCCGTTACCTGTGGGTCCGCCACAGCATTGCAACGATGATGCCCCCAGTTGACTGACGTTTCGACAAGCTAGTGGCTTTGGCTTCTGGTACCTTGAGACTTCTGCCCTGACCCCAGGATTTTGTTGGCTTGATCTTTGGGGTGTTCAACTATGGCGAGTCCGGCATCTTGGCAAACAACACATTGAACCATGTGCGGCCCTTTTACGAGGACCTTACGCCCCAGAATCACTTCCCATAGACCTCAACACTCTGTCACACTCCCTCGTTCCGTTACATTACAATGCCTCCAGATGTGAGACAGAAAACTGCAGGTGGCGTGCACCATGAGCTTATCGCCTTCAGAACACAGGAGGAGGGTGGGCAGCTGAAGCAGAGCTACTCGGAGCATATTCAGCGCCTGTGGATTCTCAGAATTGTTCGACTAAGCACCTGTGCCAACTAAGAATGTCCTTTCCACACGGCATGCATATGTGCTTGTAGATCTAGAAGAAAGCACCAATGTTGAGAAAGAGCGCTTCACGGAGGGCACACATACCAGGCAGATCTGGACAGGTCTCAGGAGAGCTCGCAGGGAAATCCAAGATTACAGGCTGAGACAATGAGTAGCTGGATGGTTCTTACGTACTGACCTGATGCCTCGCAGAACTTCAGTGAAGTGCCACACCTTTTGGATTTCATGTTGGCTTCACCGGCTGCACCCAAGGGAACCTGGACGTGGAGGTGGTCCCTCTTTGCCAGCTGCTTTCGCAGGACTGGTCCAGGAATTGAAAGAGGAGGTCACCTCACTGGCACAGGCAGTTTCGAGCAAGAGATCCTTTCTCCAAAAGATCCTTTCTCAACCCTTAAACTGTGATGAACTGCCAGGGGCCAGTGAAACTGATGAGTTGTGTGGACCGGAACATGCAAAGGCTGCCCCGCCCGCCCTCTCTGCCACAACAACCAGGCTTGCACCAACCTCCAGGAAGTCCGATGTTGTGGAATCCGACTTTCAATTAAACACATGCCAGAACTTGGTCTATACTGTATAAGCACCAAGTTCGTTGAAGCTTCAAATTTACAATGATTGTATTCCAAAAGCACTAGCAAGAAACTCAAGTTGGGGCGCATGAAGGAGGATGAGGCAGCCGCTGTCCTCCAGCGTGAGTTTGGTGGCTTTTTTGGCTCCTCGGGCTGGTCAAAACGGGCTTGGTGTGCATAGTGGCGTAGCGGCAGCGTCTCAAGTAGCTTCCGGAGACACGTCCCAGTTTCATTGGAATTGGCGTGGCTGAGCAAGCTGGGGCGGGGATTGCGTCTGTTGGGCTACGTGTCCAGAAGTCGGATTTCAGTACAGTGCAGACTCCGGTGAATCAGTCCTTGTGCTACCCCTCAAGGCGCAGGAGACCTTGCACCTGGAGTATGAAACGTGTGAGGCGTATTGCGGAGGGCATCAGGGCCATCACTTGAATTGGTTTTTGAAGCCCACATATCTCTGAAATGATCGTTGCCACGAACATGCAGACCACCCCCCCACCTCACCTCCATGCCCCACACCTGCCAATTTTCTTGAGATGAGGCCAGAATACCATCTGCACCGTCGCAGAGCATACGTTGACAGAAGTGCTCGAAATGCACGGGTCAGGCTGGGTGGCTGGGTGGCCTACTTGTGGTCTGCGTTTGTTCTCAGAGGGAAGGTTTGTGAGCCTAATCGTCTAACCACCAATCGTTACCAATCACGTCCAATCATGGAAGCGCAGCGCCCAAGTTCATTATGGGTGGAAAACATATCTTCACAGGCTCCATGTCGACTGCCAGGTTTGCTTGGCCATAGCTTCGGTTTAACCACGGGCTGCGCCCAAGATCAAAGAAAGTTACACTTTTTCAAGATTTTCTAAGATTTTACAGAAGCAAAACATGAAGCGCTGGGACGAGTGAGCTTGTGCTCAAGCATTACCAATTTCCATGTTCAAGGTTCATCTTGTCCATGTGATGCTCCATTCTTCTGGCATCGTCTAGATTCTAGCATCCTCAGCCCTAACCTTGGGGGAGTGGATCTTTGTAATAATCCTTACATAGACCCTTATCATAGTCCCCATATTCACTCCCCCACTTCCCCTTCAGCACCAGCAAGTAACCTTCAAGTGGAAGACTGCAGCTCTGGCTCAAGCAGCTTCGGGGCCTGGTTACCAAGTAGTTACCGTGTGAAGGGGACTAGACTTGTGGGGTTTGAGATTGTGGGATTGAGCATCCAGGATTTAGGTATGCAGCTGAAGATTTCAGATTTAAGGTTCAGGGATTGGATTTGGGATGTTTTGTGCATCTGACAGATAAAGAGATTAGGGATCTTCAAGATGGCGTTTTCAAGCTAGTAGCTTCTTCTGCGCATTTGGCTCCCAACTTCTGCCATCATTCCTACCTGAGGTCACCCAACCCACCAAATCCCTGTCTGTTTTTTAAAGCCTAGTTGATCTCATTTGAGGCATGTAGGAGAGACCAATGCGAAGTTCTTGCCCATGAGTTCCTTCTGCACTCGATGCTGGCCAGCTGTGGGGCCATCCTGTACTTGGCCGAAGTGCTTTGACTTCTTCGTTCCGAGTCTCCAGACTTGGTTTGGGAGACTTGTTCATGGAAGGGATTCATATGGGAAAGCGGT